GTATGTTATAGTCACATTTATATTTAAAAAAAAAAAAAAAAAAAAAAAAAAATTTGTCAAACCCTGATTTTTTTTTTGTCTTTTTTTCTGTTTGCCAGAATTCCACGGTGAGATCAGATGGATTTTCCCAGACCACCACACAATGATTACTGAGACTGATGCTTGAAATAATTATACTATCTATTGAGTAAAGCAAATTTTTAGTTATGCAACATTACAAACGCAAAGCTGTGAAATGTCAGACCACAAATGCATAACACAAATAACCTACAAGCTACAAACTTCAAAAAACATTTCACCTTACTTGAGAGCATTTATCCATTACACTGGCTCAGTTATGTTATATAAGCACATTATAGATGACTCTTTACAATATTTCCTTTAGCAGTACAGGTCATTTTCTCCTGGTGCGCTCAGAAGAGGAGTGTCTGGCTCCGGCAGAGGAATGTGAAAGCAGAGGAAAGCAAAGAGATAAGGCTATTGCAGTGATGAAGCCTAAAACAGTAGACGGATAAGAGGAAAAAGAACACTGGCTTGGTACATTTAAATAAAGCATCCAGGCAGATAATATTCAGTTTCTTGATGAGACATAAACAGCCACTGAGTGCCAAATCTCATAGGGTCAACTATTACAAAGACCATGAAGGATGTGATATGGTTCAGTCAGTGTTAATTGTCAGGTTTTTATTGTGTGCTTCATGATCATGGCTCTAATTATGATTGATTGCAAGCTAGTTTACATCTACACTTGGGAGAGTATGTTTAAATAAATCAAAGCGTGCAAATTAAAGAGCAGTCTTAATAAATTCCCAGATTTCCTCAAGGAACGGCAGTGTTAAAGCTGTTGAAACTGTTCGAGTGAGGCTTCAAAGTAGCTCGTTTCACGATTATGATTTTGCCACCAAAATTGGAATAAAAATGTGTATTATCTGTAATTAATATTGAGCAACCAGTTTCAGCACACTCCACAGAACTTGATAGAGGATGGAAACGTTCTTTAAAAAAAACAAAACAAAAAAAAAACAAGTTCTACTGCCAGGTTTAACAACCGCCAAATATTTCACGTGTTAAAATAACAAAACTTGTAGCAGCAGGGAGGAGAGGTCACTGATGTGGTGCCCAACCTTGTCAGAGATCCAGCTCACACTCTTTCCTCTTCGTGAGTGGTTGTAGCACTGCACTGAGGATATTATTACTCAGTGCAAAGAGATTTTCATCACCCTTTTTCAACACCAGTCATGATTTCACTCATCTCTGTGAATTCATTTCAGCAAACTCTGAAAAGACCCTGAACAGGAAGGCCGTGTGTCCTGCATGACTGTATCCTCAGGTTTACTACATTGTTGGTCCTTTTAAATGTAATAGATTTTCATGAGGTAAGACTAAGACATGAATCAATTTCAACATCTTGTAATTATAAGGTTCTATCTGACAATTCTGTGATACTGAGCCATAAAAGTTTCTTCCTCGATAAGGTCTAAACCGGAAATCACATGGCAGCAGCGCAATGCATAACATCATGCAGATACAGGTCAAGAATTTCAGTTAATGTTCATATCAAATATAAGAAGGGTATATCTCAGTAACGTTGTCTGTGGCATGGTTGTTGGTGCCAGATGGACTGGGTATACAGAACGGTGTGAAAAACAACAGACATCCAGTAAGCAGCAGTTCTGTGGATGAAATTGCTGACACGAGAGTTCAGAGTCGAATGGCCAAACTGGTTCGAGCTGACAGGAAGGCCACAGTAACTCAAACAACTACTCTACACATCTGTGGTGAGCAGAAAAGCATCTCAGAATACACAGCACATTGAACCTTGAGGTGGATTGGCTACAACAGCAGAAGACCACACTGAGTTTACTCCTGTTAGCCAACAACAGGTATCTGAGGCTACATTGGGCACAGGTTGACTGAAACTGAATAGCTGAAAACTGAAAAAAAAAAACATCACCTAATCTTATGAATCTTGATTTCTGCTGCTACATGCAGATGGTACTTTCAGAATTTGGTCAACAGCATGAATCCATGGACCCAACCTGGATTGTGTCGAGAGTTCAGACTGGTGGTGGTGGTGTAATGGTGTGGGGAATGTTTTCTTGGCACACACTGGGCCACTTAATACCAATCAAGCATTGTGTAAATGCCACAGCCTTTTTGACTAGAATTGCTGACCACATGCATTCCATGATGGCCACAATTTAACCATCTCGTAATGGCTACTTCCAGCATGATACTGCGCCATGTCACAAAGCACAAGTCAGCTCAAACTGGTTCCATGAACATGACAATGAGTTCAGTGTGGCCTCGTCATGACCTTAGGGATGTGGTAGTATGGGAGATTCGCAACATGCTCTGAGTGTTCTCTGTCTTGACATTACTAACAAAAAAAAAAAAAAAAAAAATCATGAGTCAAGAAAGAAAAAAACCCACAGCTTT